CTGGGCCCTGTTTTCCCACTTTTCACTACCGGCCGGGGATGGTGTGTCTGAATCAGCCGCGCTGCGCTCGGGGCTGACCACACACATGCACACCCCGCTGGGGGAAGCCGGAGTGACTTCCACAGGGAGAGGGCAAGTAATACACAGCGGTTAATGGACCAAGCCTCATGTTACAGTGGGCTGAAAGACGCAAAAGAGCTGATTATTTTCAAGCAAATAAAATCACCAAGACTAGTGAATTAATTCCCCGAATTTATATCTTCCTTCTGGCCATAGCTTGCGTTGTCTAGACAGGAAGATGCGTGCAATCGGCTTTAAAGATGCAGCTTTATACCTCCCACGGGAGAAAGACCTAAATTCCTGACAGGCAAAGCTCTGTTGAGATGAATGGGAAACAAATTACTCCCTTGTATTCTTTAAGGCAATTGGCGTCTGTATCACACAGGCTCTTACTGGGGCTCTTCAAAGATGCCGGTAAGATTTGCAGGTGCTCCTGCTTTTGTCTTGCAAAGCCCAGCACTGTTTGCCCGGAGACTTTCAGTGTGCAACACCTAAACTAGAAATCCCCCAGAAAATTCGGCTCTGCAACCCATCAATTAAAAGGCAAAGGCAGAAGCCTGCAATAGAAGTGGGAACTGAAGTGTTGCAGCTGGTGAGTGGTGCTACTGCCTGTTTGTGCCATTTGCAGAATGAGAAAGGCATTCCCTGCAGCAAGACAGGGCACAGGGGATGGGGACCTCGGGTTTCTCACTGTGCTTTGACTGCCTGTCCCTTGCAGGACCTGGGAAATCACTGCCCCTCTCTGCCCTGGCTTCCCTGTTAAAAAAGTTGTCTTACCTATTTCTTGTGAGTCTTCCTTTCTCTTGCTAATAATGTAATTAGAGATAAAATACAATAATATTTAAACTCGAGAAAACATATCCAAGATTGAAAGATTTAAATTTCAATGGTTGCACTAAATTCCCCCTGTATATGCATATGTTGTATCTATAGGTCACCACCTACAGAATCTTTAAGGAATTTGCCTTGCTTTCCAACTCAGCTGTCAATTTATCCCTTGGCTAACAGACAGCATAAATAAGCAGTGTTACAGGCTTCACCTGTGCCAAGAGATTTGCTCTTCATGCAGCACAGCAAAGGTGCCCCTGTGTTTTAAATCCCCCCAGCCAAGGGCAATGCCAGCTGCAGGGTTTGGTTTGTCTGAACCCTGGGGTAGGGATTGATTTAGGTGTGAATTTTAAACTCCAGCTTTAAGAGCTCTGTATTTGGAGCTGGAGTCTCAATTTGTGAGAAGACCTGAGTTTTGAACCAGTGCAGGAGAAAAAAATGTGTTTCATGTGCCTGATGTGTGGTCTCGATGGCTGTGGTCGCTGATCCTGTCACAAGGGTTGTGTTCAGGTGGGAAACTGGGCAGCTGACAAACAGCAGCTAAAGGCACATCTGCTCAATTTTTTGCATGCAGAATCACACATTTGCCTTTTTGAAAATGACACTTAAATCCCCCCTCTCCCAAATTTGACTGGTATTGATCTGTGCATTGAGAGCAGAATGAATGAATTTTATTTATGCAGAGGTGAGAAGATGATTTTAATCGTGCTGCACATTTCCATCTTGTTTAGAAACCCAATCATAGCTGCAAACCAAACAAGAAAAGTCTCCTTGTTTTCTGAATGATGTTATTTGTTTATCTGCCAAAGTGCTTTGCATTTCCTCAGGTCACAGACCAGCCCATGTCTGGCTATGTTAATATTATAAGAGTTAGGCAAAAGCAAAGTTTAAGAAAAATCTTTCAACTGAAAGAAATAGGATCTTAAAATCCCAAAATAGAGTATGGAAAGGTACACATCATGTCTGGCTTCTCTTTTCCCTTGTGGCAAATGTGACTCAAAGGAGTTGGTTTTTTTCCAGCTTGATCTGTATACAGTTTGGGGGAGTTTTATTGTGAGTAGGTCACCTTATAATACACAAAAATATTCCCTCCCAGAGGTCTGCATTCATAAATCTTTCTCGATTCTCACTCTCTTGAAACTGAAATCCAGATGATTTCGTTTTCTTCATGGAAAGAAGAGTGAGAAAGAGTGGAGGCACACCTTGGTGTGGGGCTGGCGCTCTGGTCCTGCCGTGGCTTCCGTGGCTTTGAGGAGCCTCTGGCTCCCTCCCTGTGAGATGGGCAGAAGAGCAGCACCATAAAACTGAGACTTTAGAGCAGCTTGGTTGTTGCAACGGAAGGAAAAAATGAATTTCAAAGTTATTATTTAAAAAACGTTTTAAATCTTCACTTCTCAAAGTTTTGTTTAAGGGTCAAATTTATTCCTTCTTTGCTTCGCCAAGGAAAAGATCAGCACTATGGTTAAATACTAAAGCAGCTGCCTGGAATAGTGGAGATGAGTGTTTATTGACAGTAGCAGGTTTTTGTAGTTCAGTTTTGAGGAGAAACATATATCTGAAGCATAGCTTTAATGTGTTCTTTCGTTCTACCTTACAGTGCATTTTTCTTTATAAAAATGCAGCACAAAATACTAACTCTGTCCCTGCAGAGCAGGGTTAACATCACTGTTCCCCTGGTATAGGTCAAAAGAGAGGTTTTATGACATGATTGAAGCTGTGTGGTAAATTGGAGGCAGAGCTGAGTGTAAAACTCTGATTTTAAAGTTCCTGGAGTGTTTCTGTGGGCTGTCCATCTTCATTTTTTGTTCCTGACTCATCCTGATGTGTTCTTAGCAAGTGGAAGGTAGATAGAAATGCTTATGGTAAATGATCATCTATAGCCTTGAAAACATAACCAATTAGCTCAAGATTAGGACACACCCTTTCAAATGGGGATACTTGACTTTTACATATATTTTTCTTTGTCCTTGCATTTTATAATGCTATTTGGATTTTACAATGATGTCATCCAAAACCATTGCCATAATGTCATAAATTACCAAAAAAAAATGTTATTTTCTTCCACTTATCAAACAGTTGATTTAAAATCTGGTCCTGTGGAGGACCAGGAGGCCTTTTACTGGGTGTTTTATACCCCCTGGCCAGGAGATAATACAAACATTGCCATATGAACAGGCAATCAGCTCCTCTCTTCTTTAAGTTGTGTACATTTATACAACACACACTCACAGCCATGCACGTTATTGGATGACCATGAACAGTTTTGCCTTGGGAAATGATTCTCTACATGAACAAACACCACTTAAAATTACTTTTAAAGGTGACCAGTATTAAAAACTATATATGTAGCCAGTTCTGTTACAGCTGCTACTGACTGTGCTCACTGGGGGCAGATTTTCTTTTGTAATTTATTATCTGTTTTCCTCCGTTTCAGTCTCCCACCTATAACTCTGGGATTTTGTTCTGCCAGGACAGAGGGTCGAGCAAAAGCTGCTTTGCTGTCACTGTAATAACCCTTCCTGTCCAAAGAATCCTCTCGTAAATGTAGCTGGATCCACAAAGAATTACTCTGTCAGGCATGACAATAAACATGCTCAGTACTTAAAAAGTGCTCTTCCCTCCACCCCCCTCCCCTTTAAAGATGGCTTTTGGTGATACAATGGCTTTTCATTGAAGGCCAGGAAATCTTGGATTTTGAAAGTACCATACTCGGGGTGAGTTTCCGTACAGCTCCCAGCAGACCTGGGCTATGGGCCTCCATGGATCAACAGGGGGTGATTCCTACATTAATGCCTGTTCCCAGGAGATCTGTCATTTTGGCCTCTGTTGCCTTTAATCTCCTATACACTCTATACATTTCTAAATCTCCCCATGGCTGCCGTGGTATTTATCACATTCTTGGCAACGCTGCTTCTCCAATACCAACCCCTGTGCTTGGAGTCCAACTCTGCTCCTCCTCCCCCTCACTCCCAGAGCCAACTGACATGTTTGCACAAAGCCTTGTACCCAATTTTCCCTCCTCACCATCTCCCAAAGCGCTTGTGCGAGTGAGTTATCGGAGGTGTCTGAGCTGTGCCTGGGCTGGGTTCTGTAATTCTGTCTTGCACAACCCCTACTTAAGGCTTGTTGACTTCAATGGGGCTATTCATGCAAGTGGAGGCTGCACATTCGGGCCCTTGGGTTGTAGGGTCTCTGGGGCATAGACCCTGTCTTTGTGTGCCTCAAAAATATGTGCTAGATGAGTTATGATAGCTCAGAAGAGTGAGTGTCGCTTTACATTTGCCATACTGAAGGAAGGTTGCCAGGATTGCATTGATGCTGCATGTGGTCCCCTTCCAGGGGGGAATTAATCCTTCTTTGCAAAGATACCTCCTGCTGACTGGTGAAAAGAAAAAAGGAAAAAAACCCTGGTTTGGCCATGAATACCATTAGCTTAATCTTCCTTTTCTCTGATCTTCCAGTACTATTTGCTTTGTATGGCTTCATCAAGGTTTTGTATGTGGACAGAATAATTGAAAACAAATTTAGCATGTCTCAGACCATAAAGTTCCCTTTCAGCTACATCACTGGCTATGCGGTAGATAAATGTCTGGTTTTCATTTTTGGTTATGTGAGAAATTTAGAATGGTTTGATTCGTAATTTTGAACGTTAATAAAGAAGGAGAAATTTCCTTGTCTCCTGGCCTATGGAGGCATTCTGGCTTTCTTGCAGCAAATGCTGTTTAAAAAAATGTTATTTAGTACAGAAGAGTCTGTTTGTGTCCTTGAGGCCTAGAAACCCCAGTCTCCAGGGTAGACTAAGACCTACTTGTGCTCTTCAGTCTCAGACCAAAAATGCCACTTCTGCCTGTACAGGTGGTATTTTAATGCAGTGCAAGAAGAATGGCTGAAGGTGAACCTGACTGGGGGAAGGATGAGTTTCAAGGAGCAGTGGATCAATGCCATATATATATATCTCTCTGTGTGTGTATATATATATGTGTGTGTGTGTTTATATCTGTGTATATATATATGTGTGTGTCTGTGTGCGTGTCTGTAGATCTATTTGGTTTCCTGACTTGAAGGCATTGCAAGCCCTGTGCGTGATAATAATTTTTTTGGTGTCTTACCAGCTTCACGGGTACATGGAGAACAAACCCTTGGGTCTGCAGATCTTCATTGGCACAGCAGACGAGCGGATACTCAAACCTCACGCCTTCTACCAAGTCCATCGCATTACGGGAAAAACCGTCACCACCACCAGCTACGAGAAAATCATCGGCAACACCAAAGTTTTAGAGATCCCACTGGAACCCAAAAACAACATGAAAGCAACGTAAGTGTGTTTCTTTTTATCAGCAAAGTTGAGGCAGATGAAGTTGGCATGTGGAGTTCCTTCTCTTTGGAAAGGAGTCACTAAAATGAGTAATGACCCCTGCTCTGGAGGGACTCCCCTGTCCAACACACTGGGATGATACACAAGTGTAAGACCCTTTTTGCAAAACCATGAGCAGCAGGTACAGGCACCTGGGTTAAAGCTGCTTGAGGAGTTACCATTCATCAGCTGACCATGCAGGCACTTTTGCTCTTTATTCCAGCTGCTGCAGTGACTACATTGTAATCACAGAATGGTTTGAGTTGGAAGGGACCTTAAAGATAATTTTGTTCCACCCCTCTGCTAAAGGCAGGGACACCTTCCACTAGACCAGGTTGCTCCAAGCCCTTTCCAATCTGGCCTTGGACATTTCCAGGGATAGGGCATCCACAGCATCCTGTGCCAGTGTCTCACCACCCTGTAGTAATCCATCATCGTCAAAGTCAGAATGGATTTGTGCTGCAATAAGGAAACAAGACTTGAATCTCAAGTTCTTATGCTGCAGGGTCACAGTGAGAAGCAGGAGCAGCAGACAGTGGAGGAAAGGTGTACAATTCATTTTACAACATTTAATGGAAGAGAAAACATCTCTTCTGAACTCAGCCAAGTGCTCTGGCCATGAGATCGCTCTCTACTGTTGTAATAAGGTAACAGGAAAGCAAGTACAGGCACATCTTGTCTGTATTACTCCTACCAGTTTTATGGAGGCAGAGGGATGAAGTGGGCACCAGTCTGAAACTTCAGGCTTGAATGTGTGCCAGGCAGCATGAGAATGATTGCTCTGCAGAGGGAAGAGCTCTATCTCCATCCTTCAGAGGATAAAATTGGCAGAGCAGTTATATTTTTAAGCCCCCCTACTTCATCGCAAAATCCACATTCTTTCTTCATATTTTTTTCAGAAAATATACCTCATTCCCAACAAGGAGCCCTGGAGTAATAAACCTCTGCACATATGCAATGGCGAGGAACCGTGTGGGTGTAGGAAACAGCTTGGGGTTTATGCCTCCCCAAATGTGATTTTAATTCATATCAAAAGAAGAGAAATGATGTGTCTTCAGAGCTGATTTAAAAATGGGTTGGCAGTGCCTGTTTAATAACAGTGCTCACTGCACCCTCTGAGGACCATTGCTGAGCTAAAGATCTCAGATTCTGTAGAGATTAATTGCCACATTCTCCTAGTGTGGACAGGCATGTTTGCAAGGTTACACTGGGCTCTTGAGGAGCGATATTAAGTCCACCAATATTAAGTTGTGGTGCTGATTTAAGCAATCCAAATCCTTTCATTGCTGCTCAGTCCTATCCTGCTCCTGTCCAGGAACACCTGAATGGATGAATGGGAGCAGAGAGTCATTTTCTGCTCTGCCAGGCTTTTGCCTTGGCTAGGAACAACATCCCAGGGCTTTGGACATGTTCTGGGACTGGGCTGCAGAGCACAGTTCTAGTAGTACCACCCACCCTGTCCAAAAGGAGGAGAGAGCAGTTTGGTTCCTGCTTTGGAGTTGAATTCATGCTTGCTTTACAAACTAGGGGGGAAATGTGCCTGGATGATGCATGCAGTGATGGTTCTGTAATGAGCTGGTTTGACTGCTGTGATTCCCCATGGAGCTGAACTAATTTGGCCACGTGCAGGCAAGAGCTGCTGTGCAGTCCCTGGGCACTGGGCTGTCTGGAGAGCTGGTGCTGGAGGCCCCTGCCCTGGGGTGGGCTCTGCAATCTGCACTCTCTTGCTTAGCACTGGAGGGAAATAAGACCTGGGCTTATAACGTTTGGAGAGTGGCTTCTGCTGTTGCCAGAGAGTGGGGAGAGGTCCAGCAGCATCTGCTATAGTTCAAGTAGCATTGGGATGATACTCTCAGGCATATGATGTGACTCTTGGGGATGGTCCTGTGCAGGGCTAAGGGTTGGGCTTGATGATCCTTGTGGGTCCTTTCCAACTGAGCATATTCTGGAATTCTGTGATCTCTCATGTGCTGCACGTCTGGGATTTCTTCCCCCTGTGCCTGCTGAAGTGTCAGTGTCAAGATCCTAAACAAAGCAAGCACTTAGAGGTGTTCCTAGAGCTCAGCCCTCGTGGCTGTCACCCGTCCCCAGGCTGTGGGAGAGCGGGGATGTCGAGCTGACGGTGTGTGTTTGCAGCATCGACTGCGCGGGGATCCTGAAGCTGCGCAACGCGGACATCGAGCTGCGCAAGGGCGAGACCGACATCGGCCGCAAGAACACCCGCGTGCGACTCGTCTTCCGCGTCCACATCCCCGAGTCCAGCGGCAGGATCGTTTCCCTGCAGGCGGCATCCAACCCCATAGAGTGCTGTGAGTATCCCTGAGATTGGCTCCTGCTCTTGCAACAACGACCATCCCGTCCTTTGGCTCCGGGCTGGTGCCCTGCCCTTCTGTGCTGGCTGGGGCTGTGTCGCCGTTCAGGTGACCTGTGGCTCTTACCTGTACACGCTCCCTGTCCTGAAAGGAGCTTGGGTGGCTGGTGGCTCCTCAAGGTGCTTAGAGCTTGTGAGGACAGCACAGGACCTGGGGGCTTTTGCAAAGTTTATTTATTAGTGTGTTGCTGCCGGATCCCTCTGGCTGTCAGGTGGTTACTGGGAGCCAGCGGGGGGGTGTGTATATGGGACACATGCATTCTCCCTGTTTGTGCATGAGCTGCCTGCCTTCCTGGCCATGGCTTTAGTTTGAGAGGAGGCACAATCAGAACTTGTTATCCACAAGCTGGCAGTTGGTTTGGGGTTTTGAATTCAGACCTGGGACAGATCCTAGCACTGTGGCCAGTCCTGTGTGCCAAAGGAGTGACCACAGCCCTCAGATCTGAGCTGTGTCAGAACACAACTGAATTGGAGGAGCAGATTTGATTTTGAGGCTCAGGTGCATTCTGGTTATTGGTTTTTCTAGCTGTCAGTGCTAAGGGGTGCACAGCTCAGGAGGCTGAAGCAGGGAAAGCACAGGTTGTTCTGGTATTCCCCTGAGGGACAAGAAAACTCGCAGTTTTGATTTCTGAACTGCAAATCCTTTAAGTTATAAGCTGAGAAACCTGCACCTCCCACGCATTTTAACGTACTGGATCCTGAGAAAGAGAGGCCTCTGACGAGATGCCCCCCGTGTCACAGTCATTTCTGGAAGGGCTCCACCCACTTTGCTGGTTCATGTGCATCCTGTGATGCTTTTTGTTGGTAAATGGTGTCTTTTTGGCAGTTTGGGGATTTCACAAATACCTAATGAACAGTTTTCCTCTCCCTTTGTTGAATGACTCACCCCTCTAGCAGAACCTGTCTTGCCATAAGTCATACATATGAAGTTACTGAAGTGTTTCTCATGTGTGAGTGTTATTTATTGAGATGCAGGCTTTAACTTAAATAACAACTGCTTAGAATGAGAGAGGAGCCAGTTTTGGATGGGAAATCAAGCTGGAGAGTGAATTATTGATGGCAGCTTTTTAAAAAACAGTACAAATGAATAACCAAGGCTAAGGAATGGGTGATGGATATGTGTGATCTCTTGGCAGTGGTTATGAGAAGGTACCAACTGTCAGATCATTTAAGCAGCTGAGCAAGTCTCTGGGCACTGTGATGGGGAAGGGAGAGTGGTGGGAGTAGCCACCACCTTTCTCCGTAGGAAACAGTCACGGTCCTTTATGGGACCAGATGGCTGAAACAATAGTGGCCTCCACCCCAAACATGTCCCTGCTGAAACAAAGGTCCATTTGCTAAAGGAAACGTTCAATGGGGAGCTACTCGGGTGGGGAAACTCCAGGTGTAACTCCTACACCCACTGTGCAGGAAAACAGCACAAGCCCAGAGCGGACGGTGGATGGTCAGGCAGGGCGTCCCACAGATCACCCCCCACTGACTCAAATTCTCCTCAGGAAAAGCAAATATGAGTTAGCCAGGCATTTCTAGGGCTCTTCCACAACTGCACGTTGTGTTTGTGCCCATCACCACGGGGCACTCAAGCGGAAATCTGGTCACGGTTTAAAGAATAAATCACATTTTTCTGAACTGTATGCACACAACTAATTTGCCTGTGCAATGACTGCTATGGCAGTGGCTTGGTTAAGATGTCTAGGCTTTTATTCTGAGATGTCTTTGCACTGATTAGTCTTAGGGACATAAAAAAGCCAAGAGTGAAGGTACTGGTACAAGTGGCTTATTTTTGGTTTGTTGTTTTTTTTTTCTCCCATAATTAAAGTATTAAAATGTTGGCTGCATAGCAGACAGCAAAGCTACAAGAAAAAATGTGTTTGATCCCTAAGGAAATAAAACCAGAAAGTTTTATTTTTGGGATACTGGATATATGGAGTTTGGAGAGATATGTTAGGGCCTGTGCTTTTCCAAACTTGTGGAAGCAGAGTACAAAGTGATCTGGAGTAAGAAGCCTCTTCCATTCAGTGGGTATGCTGCATATTTAGCGCTGCTTTTGCATTTCAGTAGCACTTCCTGATCTCAGCCCAGTTCTGGGAAGATGGTAATAAACATCAGTTGGCTCAGCCAGCATTAGTAATTCAGACTGAATCTCACTAGCAATGGTAAACTCAGCTTCTCCCAGATAATTTGCACATGCTGCAGAGCTCACAGTCAGTCTCAGGTAAGCTCAGGCGCCCTCCCGAGAAGGGCTAAGTGACATTTTCTCCTTGTCCTACTTCCCACCTTCATGTGCTGCTGGGATTGGCTTTTTTCCCTTTTGTTTGCTCTTCTTATTTTTTTTTTTTTTTTGACATGGCCACCTGAGAACCCTTTTCCTCAGGGACTCTCTGTACGATCTCTCCTGTCTGGTAGCAGTTAATAATATCCCGCTGGAAAAGCCTCAGTAAGTAGCAGCTCTAAGATAACTGGCCATTTCCCTACCAGTGGGGTTCCCCTGAGAGCACTGTTGCTACCAACTGAACATCTGAGTGTTCTCCTCAGCAGGAGCCGATCCCAGCAGAGAATTCCCATCGGTGTCAGCAGATCATTATGAGCTGCAATGAAGCAAGAACTGTGAAGTATCTGCTTTTCACAGGGCGATTCGGTTCCACCTCATCTGTGTCACATTCAGCACTTGACAGATTTTAGGAGGGGATTTCACGGGTTCAAAGCATCATCCGGAGCAAGTTCCTCCCCAGGCAGTTGTGTGGGAGGACCGAGGAGGTGATACGTTGTTAAATGATCAGTTGTGCCTTAAAATGGACCTCATATCCAGACAAGCCTGCACATTCAGCAGCTCGCGGCCTTTTTTCCTCCCGTTGCCTGTTGATTCATTCTGAAGCCACTGAGGAGGCAAAGGCATTTGAAATCCCTCTGACAATTGTAGCAACAGGCCATTGGCTTAGCTAGGTATAAAAGCACGGTCTTGTAGGTGTGGTGCCCTAGGAACAACAAGCCACTTGGTAGATCACCCATGGAGAGCTTTGACACCTGTAGACCGTTATTTTCAAACCATGAAGACAATTTCTGTAGCAGTAGCTCCATTCCTTTGCTGTAATTTGCCTTTCACTGTGACATGGAGCTCATTTCTCAGTGAGTGAGTGGTCTCTGGTGTTAAAGACATTTTTGACACGAGGCTCCACCTCCCTCAGATAGACTTGTTGGCGCAGGTCAGTCATGATATCTGGTAGCTCCAGCAGGGTGCCTTAACATCTGGAGTTGAGTCTCTGCTCATCTGAACTGTCCAGAAGGAGCAGGATGGAAGGGAGTCCAGAGTAGTCACATAAGCACCGTGGGGCAGCTTGTTATGCTCCAGTCTGTCAGCAGCCAAAAGCTGCTTCATGCAAGTGCCTGTGAGATGTGAGTGTGAGGCTTAGGAGTATCCCCCGCACTTTGTCCCAGTTTTTATGCTAATGGGTCCTGGTTACACCTTCCCAAAGTGTGTCACAGTTCTTGTTTTGTATACTCCATGTTTGCTGATACTAAGCTGTGCTCATGAATCCCTTAAAATGCAAACGATTGCACTTGGCACGAGAGAAGGAGACTAAAATCTTGTTCTTATAATAGATATTCCGAGATGGTAGAAAAACAAAACAAACAAAACTTATTGCTAAAGAACCGTGTGTCCATCTAAGGAATTTAAATAGTTTCTATTACTGACTGTATTTTGTTCCATTAATTGAGTCAAATATCTTATTTCCCTTTAATCAATTTCCCTGGAAATTTCCTTTATTTTTCTCTCCTTCTAGTAGATTTTCCCATAATATTAGACAATCTAAGCCTATGATTTGTGACACATTAATAACTACAGAGGAAAGAGCTAGTCATGTAAAAGAATGTTGTCTTGGCAAGCCAGCGAGTGCTTTTCCTCAGCCGGGAGTTGTGCTGGTTGGAATATAAGGGCAGGCAAGTAGGAGCTCTAGTTTATTCAGATAGAAAAGCAGAAACAAATGGTCTTTTGCATTTGGGAATATATACCTATGTGCAAGTATAACCATAATCATGATTATTATGGGAGTATCGTGATTTCCAGATGAATTAAATGAGGTTTTTTTCCCCCTTTCATGTCAACTTCAAGACAGTCACGCAGTCAGCTGTAAATAGAGCTGACACAAAACCTGGTGCTTTCTCTAAAGAGAACATTTTCTCTCTCTTAAAGCACAGAATGTAAAAGCTAATTCTGACAACGTGTACCACTTTTAATGTGCAACCAAAATACTTCAGTCTTTGAAGTCTGAGTCAGAAGGAAGGGAAGTGCCTGCCCTTTTTGCAGGCTGCAAGCCTTGCTCCAGGGGTAAACTCCTGTTTACTTCTTGTCTTTGCAGTGCTGCTGGTGGTGAAAGCAAACGCCCCAGCATGTTACACAGAGCATGGACTTCTGAGCATAATTTAAGCTCAGCAGCTCTCCTCCACAAGGGATTAAAGGGAAATGCTGTGCATACCCACAGAGATGATTGACAGAGAAGTGAACCGAGGCCATGGTTTTCCTGTCATTAATCACACACTGGTTTGGTGAGCTGGCTGCAGTTCATAGAAAGTATCACACTGATCTGACACTGCTGCCATCGGGGCTTGTCACTCCTCCTGTGTGAGGACATCATAAATTATGTGCAGAGAAGGAGGTGGAGAAAAGCCCTCTATTTTTGGTGCTTTTAGCTTGGATGGCTCTGCACAAACTGCTGATTAAGTCTTGCTGGCAACAAATTGGAAACTGTTGTCATTCCTACTGGGTTCATTTCATAGCGTGTAGACCATGTTTTCAAGCTTACCCATCTAATCACAGGGGTTGGAAATTTGCTTTATTGACTTGATTCTAAGTCTACCACTACCCCATCCCTCTGATTGCAGCTCTCTAGGGTGTGTTGCTGATGTCTATCTGCCTGCTAGACATCTCTCCTCCCCTTGGCCCTCCCCTGGCTCCCATACTGCAGCTTCCCAGCCTCTAGTTCTCCTGCCACCAGAGAGCTCAGGTTGCTTCAGCGTGTGATGGATGGGATCAAAATCTCTCACAACATTAATGAGTTGGATAAGCATTGGACACAGGAGTTCTGCTCCTATCAATCCTACCACAGGCAGCTCATGGTAAATACACACAGTGTGACAGCAGGAATGGAATATTTACTTTGGCTCATTGAGGTTTGCACTGAGGTGGAAGAATTAATCCCATAACAAATTACTCCTCTGCTATTGCTTCTAGGGGTCAGGCTTTTTTTAGCACCAGACACCCAGCTCTCTCTGCTCTTCTCAAATCCAGCAGAAATCAATGGCTGGATCCAAGAGCCTCTCTTTGACCTCTCATCAGCAATGGGGACAACAACCTAAGCTCTGGGTTCAGTGTTGCAAGTGTCAGAGACAGCGTGGAGAGGTTTCGCTCTAACAGGTATCCATTGTAGAATCACAGAATGTCTTGGGTTGGAAGGGAGCTTAAAGCTTATCTTGTTCCACCCCTGCCAGAGGCAGGCACACCTTCCACTGGACCAGGTTGCCCTGTCCAACCTGGCCTTCAACACTTCCACAGCTTTTCTGGGCACCCTGTTCCAGGGCCTTGCCACCCTAACAGGGAAGAATTCTTTTGTCAGAGGTTTGCCTGGAGATCTCAGCCTCTCTGCAGAAGGTAGTACAGAGGTAGTGCTGGTACTCCAAGGCTGGGGAGTATCTGGGGAGTATCTCTGCTCTGGAAGTGTCGGTCAGACGGGCACTGCTCTGCACAGAGTTCACGAGTCTGTTCCTCCTGAGGGGCAGGTCACAGTAGTGTTTTTTTTTCTTTGCCTACATTACCCCATCCAGCCCTTGTTTGTACTGCACATACAGGGAGAGAGATTGCCGAGACGGTTCCTCTCCAGAGGCTGTTAAGAGACATTTAGCTTCAGTTAACACTACTCATAAAACGAGTCAGCTTTTGGGCAAGACAAGGCAGCACTTGGAAGCCCTCCCAAGCTGGTGGAAGGAAACATGATGCTCGGGCAGGGAGAGAATCACTCATCCCAGGAGATGAGTGCAGGAGGAGCATGGGCAGGGAGACGTGGGAGGAGAAGGACTCGCAGGAGCTGGGATTACCTAAGGAGCATGTTATGGAATACAACTGGTATTGTCATTTGGAACCTGCTAACATCAATGGGTAACACTCTCCCGGGGGAGATTTGGAGCCACAACAGACTTATCCAGGTAATTCAGTTGTCTCAAAACATCCCTTTTTTTTTCCCCTTTAAAAACAAATATCCTCTCTGCTGAAAAAAGGAACACTTATGGATGCTGCGGGCAGGTGGAGAAAGAAGAAACACCTTTCCCTGCCTTGGCATACTTCCTTAGGGTCAGCCTCCAGGCTTGTGCATCCCATGTGAAGCATTCAGAGTTTTAGGCCTTCCTAACCTTTCCTGCACCTGCTGCCCTAGGGAAGGGAATAAAGGCTCAAGCCCCAGCCAGTGCAGGGTGCACATGAGCCTGGGTGGGCTGTGGGCAGAAGGGGCTCTTCCCTCCGGGCTGAGGCTCCTGGAGGTGGTGCAGCACTCCAGGACAGCAACTCCCTTTCTCTCCTGTGTCACTGCATGCATTGTATTTCTTGGCACCAGGAACCCATGACATCTTGATTTGCAAACGGTCAAATAAAATAGAAAAATAATGTCCCCTGTTAATAGGTTGACACACTGCTTCAGGCCAAGTGTGAGTATTTCTATAGCATTTGCTTTGCTGCCTTATGTCAGTAACTGTTGCTATTGAAAGTAAACACCCCAACTGGTTAAATCAACAGCGTTTTGTTTATTCAAAGCTCATAAACTCCAGTAGCTGTAGGTCACTTTATGAAGTGCCAACCCCCGGGGGAAGAGAAGGAATAGTGTGAAATTATTGCATGCAGTCCACCCATCATGAGCGTTAGAGGAAGGGAATTTATTGGCAATTAATATTTCTTGCAGAGGAAAAAAAGTAATCCTATTGAGGCAGCTCCACACTGAACCTTGAACCTCCATACTGGTGGAAATGGGGAATGGGATGAAACCTTCTAGGTTTGGGTTAAAAAATGAGACCTTTGAAAATGAAAAGTGGTTTGTTTTTTTTTTTTTTTAAGAGCACCCCTGCCCATCTCAGCCTTCCAGGCAGTGCTGTTGAGACTGTTCCAGCTTGTCTGGGGAGGGCAGAAGGGCTTTTGGCACTTCCCAAGAGCTGGGATGCACATTCCTGCTGATCCTGGGCTCCTTGGTAGGTCGCAGTGTACACAAACACTGCACTCTATGGAAGTTGGACAGAGTTTTGGTCTTCAGCAGCGATTTCCAAGTTGCTGAGATCCAAACTAAGATGAGTCAGATGGTTATTTCCAGGCTAAAACTTATCCTTCCTCGCCCTGAAAAAGCCTTGGGAACCACTGATCTGGGGGATGTCAGCTACCAAACTCTCTATTAACACAATGAAGTCTGAGAGATGTAGGTCAGTCTGGAATTTTGACGACCTAGGATGCTTTGGAAGTGAAATTTGGGGATTGAATAGGAATAAACAGTGTCCAGGGCAATGCTTACATGCATCTTCTCTTGACTATTGTAGACATGTTTTTTGATGATTGCTATTTACTCTTAAAATCTGAGGTTAAAGATGTGTCTTTGTGATAAATCCAATTATGAACTCATCAGAAATTAGAGTATTTTGGGAAAAGAATTAATCATATAGCCATATGAAAGAAATTATAGCTTCTGTGAAAATAATCTGAATATATATTCTTAATTGGCAGTATCTTAGCCCAGATGTTGTTAAATGCTTGAAAGGAACGATGAGTCATAAGGTTGTTCTAAATAGATTTCAAAAAATCCCTCTCAAATAGCACAAGAAAGTTACAAACATTAAATTATCTGTAGTCTTTAACAAGAGCAAAATCTCTGCCTCGTGACTGAAGGCTTCAGCTGAGCTAGAAAAGTTGCTCCCCACTTCTGCAGAATGTATGAAAAGTTTAATGCTGGTGTTTTCTCACCGAATATTTAAGCATTTTCTTCATGTGACGAGAGCCTTTGTGCAGCTCTCACTGTGGCCAAGAGCTGTTGGGTTTTGGGCTTTCTGAAGCTTGCACAGCAGTAAAACAGTGCCAGGTCAGGTCACAGACAGCCCAGCCCTGCCTGTGTGTGAGTGCAAGGCCAGCTGAACATATAGGATATCATTTCCTGATTTTTGGCTCAGCAGCCAAAGATGTTCAGTGAAGACACAAGTACTCAGGGTCTCTTTGTCAGAGAAAGTTAAAATCCAGCCAAGGCAGCTGTTAAATAGATGAGCAGGATCCCCTGGAGGCCTTTTCAGTTGGGGTGGATGAATCTGGAGGAGTTTGAGTGCAGGTCATGAACTCGCAGCTCACCAGACCCAAACTGCTGCCCACCTGGTCTGGTCATAGGGAAGCTCCTGATATTTTCCAGCTGTAGGGAACCACTCTCACATCTTCACTTTCTTCAGCTCCTGCTGCTTGATAGCAAACAGTTGAAATGGCTTTGCAGGGATGGTGACCAGGATTCTCCAAAGCTTTTCTGACCATGCAAATGTCTGTTTCATTAGGATGAAAGTATGTGGAGAGATGGTGCTATCCTGGTTTTCTGAAAACAGAGAATAACTTGCCAAAGTCATGCTCCAAATTTATGACCAAGAGCAGTAAAGACCTTGGAAAGCCTTCATGATGTGCGTGCCCATCTGGATCCCACCCTACCTTTTCTTCCCTTGCCTTTTGTAATCAAACTCAGTCTGCAACACAGGGCCCTGCTCCTCAGATGTTCAGGCTTCTGCAAAACATGCTTCCAAAAATCCCGGGCTGCAGCAGTCCCGGGGTGACCCCCCTGCTCTGAAATGTGGCTTTGTGGTTGCCCCTCTTGTGTGCACAGGGCTCAGTACCTGCACATGGAGACAGGTTCTGTTGGCAAACACGCCGTGCCAGGCCCAGCGTCACCCCTGTTCTGAGGGAGGCAGTGGGATTTTGTAGAAAAGGCTCGTTTGTTTTTGTTTTTTTTTTAAGGAATTCAGTGTTATTCAGTGGAATCCTCTCTGCAGGTGGAATTTTTTGGGCTCTAGGGCTGTAGTGTGCCTGCACTTGAAAATTTGGCCATTTACTTGGAAAGAGACATGGGCAAGTTTCAGCTCATTCATCCAAGCTGTCCTTTCTCAAGGACAAGGAGTAGGGCCAGCACAGCTGAACCGCTGCAGCCAACTCCTGGATGTTTCCAAATAAAATGCCTTGAGTAAGTTTATTTTTCCCTCTCAGACCTAAATTTAGCGCCCTGGAGAAGCTGCTTTGGCAGTCAGGGGATGGTAACGATGACAAGATCGATCTGTGGATAGTTCTGGGAAGATTTGGAAAGTCCTGGTAAAAAAAGAGTTGGTTTCATTCATGTTTGCAATTTGTCCACAGCCCAAAGGTCTGCTCATGAGCTTCCAATGGTTGAAAGACAAGACATTGACAGCTGCTCTGTTTATGGAGGACAACAGATGATCCTGACTGGACAGAATTTCACAGCAGAGTCCAAGGTGGTGTTCACAGAAAAAACATCAGGTAAGGCAGTTTTTTTCTAGCTTTCCCTAATGGGATAAGGCAAATCTGTAATGCCAAGTCTCGTTGTAAGATTTGTGCTGATGATTAACCCTACTCAAGTGAGTAATCTCATTCAAGTTCATGTAAGTAAAACCATGTGAGTAAAATTAGACTTGCGAGCAAATATTTGTGTTATTGGTTCAGAAGAATGGAGGCACTGGGAATCAGCAGGAACAAGAAATGTTCCAAAGAAATGAGGTGACCATTACATGTTCCTCTGTGCTTGTTCAATCTCATGCTTAGTGAACGCTACTGTAGAAATCATAATTGAAATGAACATTTTTTTATTGATGTGAACTACAGGCAGAGATTGTGTTTTCTTCCCTTTAGAAGTCTGTGGAGAAAAAATAATGTATATTATATTATTATATGTAATATACAAAATATATATTATGTGTAATATACATAATATATTATGTGTAATGTAGATAATGTATATTTTTATATCAAGGTAAAATTATTTTTATATACACAGTGAAATACAAGAATGCTTCACTTCATCTTCTATATTTTTTATTGTAAACTTTGTGCTGTTAAGAAAAGTTGTTGCTCCTAAGTTTTCTGTTGGTAAACTGAGGCAGAGGCAGCTTAATCCAGTGATTTGCAGGGGTTTAAGAAATTGCATTACCCAAGAGAACTACATGTGCACGATCTATGGGGTAATGCCTTTGGCAAAAAGTAGGAATTGAGCCAAAAATGAATGTATATGGGCATCAGTTGGTGACCTGGGAGGGAAAAAAGGATTCTGTGGGTCCCAGCTCCTTCTCACACCACCAGCAAGCCAGGCTATTTTACAGCAGGTATGAAAGGATCTGCAGAAATGTGAAGGTTCAGATGAGCCTGTGCAGTCAGAGGAATTTTTTTGGCATACTGTGTTTCCTTTCAAGCCCGTGTATTAATTCCTTCCCACTGTGCTGCCACTGTTCCATGGATGTCAGCGAATTGTGAAGGGGCATGGGAACATGCTTGGCAGCCCACAACAGTACCTGTCCCAAGAATGTTTTGCAGTAACTAAAGGAGATGATACACTCAAAGAAGGGAGCTCTTAATGCCATTTCGAGGAAACATCCAAAACACCCTGCCCCTATTTCCATATAAGAGCAGAGAAGGCTCTGGCTGGAATAGATGTTAGAAAGTAAAAGGAACAACAACATTTTCCACACACTAAATCTAAAGCTTTCTTCGCTGCTGGGGAAACTGTGGGGTTTTTTCTTCCTTTTTTACCTCCTGTTAGGGGAGAACCATGACTTATCCCAGCGGTTGTGCCCAGTCTGGAGCAGGGATTTGCTTGCTGGTGTTCCATATCCTGCCTGCCCCGCCGCCCCTCAGTCTCTGCCGGCAGCCTCAGTCTGCTGGACTTTGTATAAATGATTGGCAGAAGGGGAATTTAGAGGATGGGAGGTCCAGAGTCAAATCCTTGGTGTGAATCAGAAGTCTGTGTGGTGTGCAGTGGGTTATCTGGGGGACTCTGCTCCGTGCTGAGCCTGTTCTTTGTGTGTCCGTGCACTGCTCCATAATGCAGCAACACCTCTCACAGAGATGCCCTAAAGTGCTTTTAAATGAAGATTGCTTTATTTAATAGGTATATCTTAAAGTGAGAAGGTTGAGAAGGTTAAGAAGCTGAGCTGGATGTGCAGATCATGCAGGGCTGACTGCACCATACTGAGAATTCAGCTGGTCTGATGAGTGTCCCAGCCTGCCTGAATGTTAGGATATTGTACACCTGAGACTTTCACCTTCCCTCATTATACACTGTATACAATTGTAAATATCACTATGAGGGCATGCCTAGTTGCTGCTGTGTTGTGCTGCACAAGCACAGAACAAGGAGCCCAGTTGTGCAGCCCGATTTATCGATTCGAGGTCTCTGGGTGGAAGGAGGAGGTGGATCCTGCACTCAGGCAGCTCGCTGCAGACCCGTCTGCACCTTGCAGAAAGCGCTGATGAGCTGCTCAGAAGCAGAACAAGCCACAATAAACATCCCTGTGGGTGGAGAGCACATCGCTGGCGTGACCCTCTCATTGTCGCGGCTCTTCCCGAGCGCGGCGCTGCCCCGGGGAGCCTGTGCAAGAATCACACCTTTCTCGAGGCAGGAAGATGCAACAAGCTCGCAGGGGGGAGCTTGGTTTTCTTTGAGGTTCATTTTAGCAGCTCTCAAGCCTTGTCTGTGCTAGCAAGTGGTACTGGATTTGCCACTTTTGCCACCAGTTTTAGCTTTGCTGGCAACGACAAGGGTGAGAGCAGTGGTGTGGGTAACCGCCTAATAGCTTTCATCAGGCTGTACTCCATAGAGCTCTTGGACTTGGCTTGTGAGTCCAGTGTTTAAGATGAGAGCAGCAAGACTGGTTTTTTCCCCAAAATCCTTTGTGCAAGCATCTCTGTGCAACAAGATGTTAACTGTTTCGTAGCCTCCAAAATCTGGGTGCATCTTGAATCTGGATCAGTGTCTGATGATGAGAAGCAGCAATCGGTCACCTTACAAAACTGAGGAAACTGCAGTTGGGGATCACAACTGTAAATTAGGTTTCATCCCTCAGGGGAACACTCAAAACCTATTTCCATTTCTTCTGGATCTTGTAGACAATTCTTCACTCGCTGCTTGCAACGCAGAGTGACGTAGAACTGCTCATAGCTGTGACTGAAATACAACAAGGTTCTGAGAACAATAACGAGCAGCTTTTATTTCTCTGTTTCATAGAACTATAGAAGACGTATCTTTTTCCTAAGAAATACCGGGAAAATAAAAAGACTATTCCCCAGATTGTGCCAGGATGTCCTTCTGAAAATAACTGCCTGGTGTCACGCGAACTGCAGGCTGTGGCACCGAGTTCACCAGGGGCAAGGCTGTGAAAGTCGCTCGTTTTGGGCTCGCGACAGGAAATGGCAGCAGGAAGTGAAGTGAAGGGGCTGGAGCTCAGTGCTCTGGGGGGACAGAGTGCTTGTGTTTGAAATGCTGATGCATAAATAGCATTAATTTTCGTAGTGATAGGGTTTTATCGACGTGCAAGCCGTAGACTGGGTTTTTTTGAACTTTTTTAAGGTTCTCTCTTCCCGATGAGAGAGTGTAATCTGTAGCTGCTGTAAGCCAGGGCAGCTCATAAATTTGGTAAGTTCAGCACACAAAAGCAGGGTTTGGCTGAAGGAGTTTTAAGATCTGGACTCAGAGACACGTTACTGAGCCCAGCTAAATAAAAATAGGTCAGGAGAAGCAACTAGATTGGATTGTACGGGTAGCAATTTTCGAAGTGCATATATTCTTTTAGTTTTGATCTGAAAGAGAGAGCTTGAAAAGCAGTCCTAGAGCTATCAAGGATTTGGAATATGTTGAAGGTCAGGAGTGTCAGTGTTTGGTTGGGGCCCAGACCTTACAGTGCAGTTAAAAAAAGAAAAGATTTGGAATTCCCCCTTTTATTATTTTAATTGTCATGTAATAATTTGCAAGTCAGATGTTGGTTGCATTGTGTTTACTCCCATTTGTGTACTGGTTACTGCTGCTCTGCTGTCAGTGATAGGGGAGTTTCGTGTTTCTCTGGGAGAGAAGTGCAAATGGACTGTGATTTCCCCTGCCAAACTCTTCTGGTGGCCACATGGACATCGTGAATCATCGCTAGGACAATGTGGGTGGTGGAGGAACAACCCAAACAGAGCGTCCATCCTTGGAGGGGATCCATCATAAATCTTTCGGTCCATCCACGCAGTGCAGGGAGAGGAGGTGGTGCTCTCTGTGCCCTTTGAACTGATGCAGCTGCCAAGGCCCCTGAAGAATGGATGTTCAAAGTCCCTGTGACAAAATAAATCTTTCCAGCTCTAGACTCAAGCAGTGGTGCTTGAATGTCTGCTGGTTTCAGGAGAGCTCACCACAGGGCAGGATTCAGTGTGTCAGCGGTGAGTTGAGGTTTCATCTGCACAGAATGCACCTGCTTCCATACCCTAGAAACAAACCATGGAGCATGTGCCAGTGGATTCCAACATCCAGGAGTCTTTCAGGGCAATTCACTGTAGAAAACTGTGGTGGGATGGCATCATGGCATGTATAATGGTGAATAGAAGGTGGCTTGTGTGTTGTTTTTGATGGTAATGAGGAGCCAGGGCTGATGGTCATGTCATTTGTGGGAGAGGTGAAAGGAAATTCTAACAATGTCTATAGCAACATTCCCTTTTCTGTCCAGTCTGAAATTCCTCACCATGCCCCAACCAGGGAACTAAATCCCTGTTTGTAGTCTGACAGTTACATGAATGATCCAAAAACTCCAGGAGAATGCAGAAAACAGCAAAGTATTTTCAACATTTAAGCCTGTGAACTTAATAATGCAGAATTAATGGTGCAATTTTCTCAGGCAAATTGAAGATTAAAAAAGAAAACTTTTTAAAACAAGTTTTATTTTCCCCAAGTCCACCCAAAAGAGGGTTTGCTATTTGACCAAATAAACAACTTTAAATATTGAATGCAAGCACCGATTTCTAAATTAATGAACTTAAGGAGAACTAAGAGGAGCAGGACATATGTTAGAACAAGGCTAATAATGCAGTGATAGATACAATCCACTGCTGAGCATGCATTAATTGCAGGTTTGAAAGGCATCTTGTCCTGAGATAAAAATCCAGCATCTGGGGAAAAAAACCAAACTACTGTTGATTTTTTTAATGGGAAAGGCTAGGGAAAAAAGCACAAATATTTGGTAATAGTTACAGAGTTAGCAAAAGTGAGTGTGGTACTGTAATCTTAAATGGTTCAGTTTGTTTGCAATATGTGAGGGTCTGTAGAAAGTATATTAAATAAATTTGCTACCTTGCTATTTTCCTGACAGTTTTGAAAGAGCACAATCCCTGTTCCACTCAGTCTGTGGCTGGAGTCCAACATGTAAATCTGGATGCATATCCCATCCACCCTAAACCTGCAGAGTGATGGGATGGACTGGGGGAATAAATTACAGATGTCTCTGTCAGGAGTTCCACCTGAT